GTTATATTTTTATATATATATAATTATATATATATATTTATAATTATCCAAAAATGATCATTTAAATAATCATATAACCATGAGCCTTTATTAATTAACCCAACAAGGTCTCATCCAAGTTTATGACTACATCCTTTGGTCCAACTTTCCTTAAACCCAATCCAATTAAAATAAAGTAATTAAATTAAAACTAATAATTACAAATAATTAACAAACAATTCACACAAATATAAATACACACAAATCAAATAAACAATTCAATCATAACATTTCACAAAGCAAAACACCATATCAATTCAACAAATATAATCACGAAATATAATCTAATTAAAATAAGACAATTAATCTAACCATTCAATTAAATAAAATAAATCATTTAAAAATAAAATAAAAGTAATTAATTCTAATTAAATCAAACAAATCATTTAAAAATAAAATAAAAGTAATTAATCATAATTAATAATTCGTTTAAAATATCGGGGTATTACAATGAGGGTGAGGGTGAGAAATGTAAATTTGTAGTAGATTGCTTGCTCTTGTTGAAAGCAAGTACCATGTAAATTCATAAGGAATGCATTTTTAGATCAATTCTTTTCTTTCTCCACTTTACTTTTTTCTCTTGTGTTTTACTGTTGGATTATTCTGCTACCACCAATCATCTCTACTACTATAACTACAACACTATAACCATGGTTTGCGGTGCGGTACTGGTTGCGGTCACAGTCACGGTGTAACGAACCTAGCGAATATCGGTGTGAACCTGGTGAATATCGGTGTAAACCGCTAAACCAGTCGATTCATGAAGGTGAAGGTGTGTAGCAATATCAAGGGTTTGTATAGCCGATATGGTGAGTCATAACTATAACTCTAGATTATCTTTAGATCTAACTTAGAAGGGATACAGGTGCAATGCAATTTTTTTTTTTTGTTGTAGTAGTTTTTGAGACTACAGTATTGCATGCTCAAAACTGCTATAAAGTTAATTATATAGTATTTGTGAGACGACTAGTGAATTGATAAGATGGATAAATTTTATATTGAAGCTCCATTACAGAGAGTTGGTTTTTTAAACTTTTTAAATATGAGTAATGATAGATGAATCGAAAAGGAATCCCCGAATTAACACCAAATTTGACGTGATTGGCCACATCTGCTTCTATTGTTTACATTCTCACATCTTTTTCTCGCTTTTATCCTTATATTTATTATATACCCTTCATTTTCTCTTTCTAAAATTTATCAATCTCATTCTCAAAATTATCTCTCCTCTGTCTTCTATTGTCACCATATATCAGTTCATAAGATCTTATTACACCTATAAATTTTTCATCTCCTTATTCTTTTTCTGTTGTTTTGTTTCTTTGAAGAAAACCAAGTTAATAAGCCACCGTGACAAATGAATTGACCAATTTTGATGAATTTTTGAGATTTGGGTTCATGTGTGGAATAGAGATGATGATGGTTATTGGTTAAGATGGTGGCCATGGTAGAGTAGGAACAAATTTGAAGGTATTTGAGATATTAGACAAATGGATGGTGGCAGTGAAAGGAAGAACAAAGAGATGGAGAAGATAAAAATTCTTATCAAATCTGAGAGAGAATTTCATAGAGGGAAAGAGATGCGTTAATTTTTAGAGGGAGAGGGGAAAAAAGGATTGCACAAAACTATAAAATAAATTCAGAACCCAAATCCGAGAAAGAGAAAATGAATAGAATTTCAAAGAGAGAAGTGAAGCCATATAAACTTAGAGAGAGAAAGTAAAGGATATACTTGTCATTTGTTAAACAATTATTTTTTAAAAACTGTTTAAGTAAATGAGGTGGACAAAAACACATCAGATTCGGTGTTTATTTAGGATTAATTCTTCGGTCACCGTATCATTATTCTATGTTAAATTCGTGATGTTCACTTAGGGATATGACTCTTTGCCGAATGAGTGCATTTGAATTTTTTTAATTTTTATTTGTTATAAAAAAAATGGTCTAATAATTGGAAGAGGTCCCACCCGTACTACATGGTTGAGATTGCGTATCGGAGGGGATTCGAGCCGACACTCAAGCTCTATTTGTTTAGATGTAAAACATTTTTCAGAAAATATTTTTTTATTTTTTGTTGTTTGGTAGTCATATAATATTTACTAAGAAAAAAATATAAAAAATTAAGAAAAATAACTTACCCATTAACTTATTTTACACGTACCACCCAATGGACTTGACCTAAATTTTTGTTAAATATCGAAAAATAAAAATAAAAAAAATATATCTTACCTGAAAAAAATATATATATTTTAGGTCGAAACAAACGGAGCCAATGCAAATGAAATTGTACTGATCACTATACTTATATTCTTGTCATAGAAAGAAAAGGAAATAAATTTGATAAATTTACAAATATACCCTTTTACATTTATAAGACAAATGTACAGGAAAAAAGTGAGAAAAGTGTTGAGAATATATAAAGATTGTGCTCAGCCTCTTGGCCACAGTGGCCCATAGTATTTTGATTTTTTTTTTTTTTTTTTAAATAAGGGCAAAATTGGTATTGGAGAAAAAATTTCATTAAACTTTGTGCTATTTTCTTTCCTTTCATCCTATTTTGGGATGACAACAAACCTACTCATCATGACTTAGGAAGTACGGACACTTCTACGAAGGAGTCGTATCCGTATCGTACCCGTGTCGAATACGTCGGATACGTGTCCGACACTTCATAAACATGTCCATAAATGAAATTTAATTTTATAATTTTGGATACTTCGCCGACACTTATCGGACATTTCTAATACAAGTGTACCCTATAATCTTGAAAATAATATAAATACTATCATGACAAAAATAGTGAAATACTAGTATACATGATATAAAAATCATTACAATAAAGACACAATTTTGTTTTTTAATTCATTTCAGACCAATTCTTACTATAGTAATTATAAATGAATTAAAGTTTTATAATACTATTACTAAATAGATGTATATATATATAAAATTATATTTATATGTAGTCGTGTCCACGTCGTACTCGTAACCTACTTTTTTATAATTTGATGTGTTAATATATCGGTGTCGTATCGTATTCGTGTCCTGTGTCTATATCCATACTACATAGATCATGACTAATCTTATCTTCCAGATCCCTTCATTTCCTTTCTTTTCTTTTTAAAATTTCATACCAATCACAATATATTATTTCCTCTATTAATTTTCTTTTATTTTTCTTTCATTTCTTTTCAAGCAAACAGAGCCTTGGTATTAATGAAATCTTTAAATTATGCAAAAAATAATAATAACACAACAATAGTAATTTTAATAATGATAATGATAATAATAATAATTTCTTAGATAAAATTATTTCTGCTTGCCCAATGTCGTATTTTATAGCTTATAATGATAAAGTTCTGTTTACCCAAATTTGAGAATGGGATGTTTGAATTCAAAATAATAATTCTTTCATAGGCAATCAAAGTTAGATGTAATTGGTGTACCGATTAAAATATCGTTCATAGAGCTTATTAATGTTTCCTATAATATAAATATCGAAGGTTAATATACAGTGTTCTCCAGAGGGGCAGTAAAAAATTTCACTCACCTGCCTTTAACAATGGGTAAATTATATTAATCTCGTTTAGGCTTTAACAAATTACAAAACGTTAGAATGTTTTGCTTTTATTACTTTAATCTTTCGTACCTTTATCTAATTTAATAAAAAAGTATCAAATAAAAAAATTATATATAAAAAAAAAGAACCTAATCAAACCCTAAAAAGCAATCTAATCAAATGTCATAAAAAAAAAAATAATAATAATAGTTTTTGTAGAGTTTATAATATAAAATTGGTATGAAATTGATATATTGCATTTCAGTAGCATTTTATAATATTTTTGTAATTTTATGTCAAAATATAAGATTATTGAGATATTTTAATACAAGAAAATGATAATTTAGTCATTTTATACACGTCAAATCTCAGGAGAGGTTAAAGTAATAAAGATCAAATGCTTGACCTATATGTAATTTGTTCAAATCTCAAGAAAGATTAGTGTAATTTACTAAATATTAAGGTTCTATTTGTTTCGATGTAAAATAATTTTCTCGAAAAATATTTTCTTTTTACATGTAAAATATATTTTTCAAAATTTTATTTTAGCAAAGGTCTAGGTCAAGGATGAGGTTGAATTCATCGGGTGGTGTGTAAAATAGCTTATTGAAAATTATTGAATAAATTATTTTTGTTATGTTTTAATATTTTTTTTCTTGATAAATATTTTACCACTGAGTCTAAAAAAATATAAGGCTAAAATTGCATGTGGAAAAAATAATGGTAAAATTGCATGTGGAAAGATTTTATGGGAATGAAATCTGACAAAGCTTTGTCTAAGTTTTAGTTGAATATAATACACGCATTAAAAGTTTTACGAAAAAAAAAAAGAAAGAAAGAAAGAAAGAATTTTTAAATAGGACAAAATTATAGTAACATAATTGGTAATTAACTTAACTATTTTATTAATAAATTTATATCTAGTGAGTCTAAATAAATAAATATGCAACTCTACACATGTTTTTAAAACTTTTGCGACTATAATTTCATTTCATCACCCTTTCACTTTCGATTTAAGATTAGAATATGACTGAAATAAAATAAAAAATTATAAAACAATAATTATCACAATTTATATGAAAACAAATAATGAATAATTACTATTGCATTTTTTACAATAATTCTTTTATTAGCATGTATATTTTTTTTTACCATAAATACTATTGCATTTTTTCTTGTTAAGCACGTCCAGGATCTTCAAAATACAATTTTGAAAGTTACAAATTTTAAATTTGGCAGCCATATAACACTTAATATATATATATATATATATATATATATTGATTTAAGAATTTCTTGTCCGTGAATTAATCTTTTTAAAATTGCTAGCGGTCTAAGCCCGGTCTAGGACTTGAGTACCGAGCTATAAATATCCGATTCATCGATCAATATTATATACTTTTTATATATCTGAAACTAAATAAAACCCGAGTAAACCCTCAGTCACCACTCTGTAGAGAGAGAAAGAGGGAGGGAAGGAGAGTCTAGTGAGAGAAAATAGGTATGGCGAAGGATAGCTGTCTAACTCGAATTGCCGCAGGCGTTGCAATCGGTGGTGCTCTTGGTGGCGCCGTTGGTAATTTCATTTTCCCATCTCTTTTTTCAAAACCCTAATCTCCGTTTGTTTGGTAAGAAAACGCTGGAAAAAGAAGAGAAAGAAAAAAAAAAAAAAAAAATGAAACTCGTAGTTACTTGTTGTGGATTGTTGTTTTTCTTAGGTACAAATTGTACCTTCGAGTTCTCAGAATCCTAGTTTCACTCCTTGAATACTTCACTGAAATAGCATTGGCATGATGATTGATGAATTTCCTAATTATTAGACTTGTTATATTAGATATGCTTCATGATTTGTTCTTCAATTTAGTTTCTGGGAGTCGGCAATTTTTGTATTATTACAAAAGCAACTTTTATAATGCTAATGCGTGTGTATGTTTGTATTTGTATGTGTATGTACATGTGTTTGTGTTAACACAAGGGATTAGAAGTTGACTGAAGGTATGTATTGGGCAGATAAGCTTTGTTGTTAAAATTAATTGAATTGAAATATATGTTTGACTTCATCCAATCTCTGCAAATTGCAGTATTTGTGCAGTGCGCATTAGAACGTTGTAGACATCATCTAGATTATTGGTAACTTGGGCCTGCTGAATCATTGCAGTGCAATTTATGAATTTCTATTACATTGAAGTTGTGCTATAAGGAATGTGCCTTCTTGCTTATATATGTTTGAGGTGAAACTACATGCTTAAAGAATAAAACATTCTTGAATTGCAACAACTGGCTACTAAATTAGACCCTGTAAGGAAAAGTAAACTACTATATTCTTACTTCGTCAAAAAAAAAAAAAAGAAAGAAAAAAGAAGTAAGCTACTTAAGATGTACATTTCTGTAGGGGAGCCATGTCTGTGTGGACACTCATTGGAAACTCTTGTTCATATATCTTAGATCTGCCCATGATTATGTTGGTTAGTTAAACGCATAGCGTTTTAGAAATTGAATCTTCAATCTGGATACTACGATCTTATGATCCAAAAATATTGAATGGATCCAGATTCCAGAAAATTCACAGTAGAGTAGAATCCTTATGGACTTTGTGTAAGATCATTGCAATTGTAGGATCTTGAGTCGACCTTGATTCTGTTGATTGTATTCTGCAGTCTTATAATTTCATTTTCACGTATATCTTTTATTTTAAGGGTCAGAGTCCCAAGCAATATTGAAAAAATAACACAGACCATCTTAAATGTCCTAAACAGGGCAATAACATCATAATTTTCTTCTTATTTTTTACTTTGCGGCTGCTTGTGATTAATGTTACCGCAACTAATTTAGACCATTTATTTCTTATTTTGACTAGTATAAGTTAGACATTGTTTCCCCTCGATTTTTTTACTTTTCTTTTCTGAAACCATCTTTTGGTTGGTTATTTTGTATGATAGGCAGCGAAGGTACAACATTTTGCCTTAAAAACACTACTTCAAGCTGTTGAATTCAATGCTCTGTCTCTCTCCTTTTCTTTGATAAGTGAAAGAAAGAAAAGAATTAACTCTCTCTCTCTCTCTCTCCCTAAAACTCAATTAGTTTTTCAAGTAAATCAATTTGATATATTATTTGTACTTATCAAAAAATAAAAAAAAATTGGATATATTATTCGCACAAATCTTAATACTCATTTTTCATCTTTTCCCCTATGTTATAAGCTCTGATACGGAGCCTCTCATGGTTTGCCTTGAGCAAGGTTCTTTAAAGATACATATTTATTGATTTTTGTAGTAAGAAATTATGTCTGGGTGCATTTTAATCCTTGTATGCTAGGTCAAGGGAAAAAAAATCATGACTACTACAACCAATTCCGTTACATTATGCTCGATTTGTGTCTACGTTTATTACTCTGCATCGACATCCTAATCTTCGAACTATGGTCTTGAGTATTTTAAATTAATTTTCCTCATGCAATATGAATTTATTTTAGGATTCAAGAACTTCTTTCATCTTGCATTTTACATTTGTTATCGTAGCGTGCTTCCATAATTAGTCCTATATAAGTTAAATAATTTATGCTAATATATGCATATACATAAATATATAAGGTTTAGAAGTTCAAATGCTCTGAATTCTCGTTCATGTTATTCCATATCTTTTTTTTGCGTTTGGAGCTTAGTAATGCTTAGGATACACAAATACTTTACGTGTTATCTTTATCATTATGTAGAGTCTTATGATTCTTGTCTGGTCCTACGAGCTAATCTTGGATACTTCCTTGTTGATTTAACACAACATCCCAATTTTAACAACATTCTTTCGATAAAATTTCTCTGGCATTTGTTGACATGACTTAAATAGCAAAAGTAAGTCATTATTTGCCCGTGTCGATGCTCTTGGTGACAGAATAAAGTGATGAAAGCACCTTGAAAATGTTTTTTTCTTTTTTTTTTTTTTTTTTTTTTTTTTTTTTTTTTTCTTTTCTTTTTTAAAAAAGGTTTGACATTTTACATATGGCTATCACAAATGCACAGGTGAAGCATGCACTGAACACTTTTTATTTAGGAAAAGAATGTAATTGTAATGAAAATAATATAATAGAGATTGGTGACAATCTGATGATTATGATATTTGTCTAGCTTCTTCTTCCACGTTACTGTTAAAATAGAATTTATAATAAGAGCAGATAGGCAAGCATGAGAATGCATGTTTGATTCCTGAGCGTAGCCACTTTCAAACCAGCTCCCTTGATTGCTGGAAAGGGGAAACCACATTGGGTAATGACCCTATGACCCGTAGTATTTTAGAAAATTTCTATTAAAGTTATATGTTTTTTTTATTTTTTATTTTTTTTATTTTTTTATTTTTATAATATATAGATGTATTTAAAATTATATATATATATATATATATATATATATATATATATATATATATATATTCACTTCTCACCGTTTATGCCCCTTAGTTGTAATGTTCTCGTCCGTTGTCTTTGTTTGTGCTAATTAGATGAGTCCCACTGAGCATAGCTAGGCAATCTCCCAAATGTCTCTTCAAACCTTGGTTTTTACATTGGCATATCATCATTGATTTCTTCTTTAACATGTTATATATCCTCAATATTTTGACTTTCTTGCAATTTTCTCTTCATAAGAAATCATTTCAAACTATAGCCTCGTACTCTGTGACTTCTCCTTTAATTGGATGCGTATATGGACAATCATACATTATACCATCTTAATCCATACAGTATATGTTTGAAGCCATTTTATCTAATAGATATTTTTTTGTTTATTAGGCCTTTGTTCCACATTTTCAGTATGTTCCATTAGATACTTGTCTATCTTTCCAGGTTTAAGCCAAATAACATGAACGTAGAATATATTGAATACAAATGATTCATAAGCATGAAAGAAGATATGATTCTTATGTATTATGATGTATATGTTCACTCTCCCATATGCTTTTACGTATAATTCAATTGATATTGTGACTGTTATTTGGCTGTGTATCTAATGCATTTGCTTCTGCACAGGTGCTTGTTATGGAACATTTGAGGCTATTAGGTACAAGGTACAATCTTCGAGAAGCTCTTAATCTTTGAGTTTTGGGACCACGCAAATATTTTAATTTTTCTGTTATACTTGTTGTTCTTGACAAGGGAAAAAAAAAAAGAAAAGAAAAAGAAGAAAAGAAAAGAAGACATTCTATCTTTAAGACCATAGACAAAATCAATTGTCAAATTTAAAGTGATGCTGCAACAGTTGTAGAAATCCAAAATGGAGAAAAGAAATAGATAGAGATACTTGCAAGACAGCTCTGAATAAGAGCAATCTTATATCCAGAGGTAATAGAGGATTTCTTCACTTGTTTAGACAATAGAATACCTTTTCTTCCACGGTTCCAGAAACTAGCCTTTCCCTAAAGGATGACTGAGATACTTCTGAAACCATCACCAATTTCATATCTGTATAAGGCTGAATTTCAAATCCAGCCATCACCACTAGAAAAGAAATATATAGTGTAATCCGAGTTGAATATGTGAAACTCTCAAATCAACTTACCGAAGACATTCACCCACAGGTGCTTCTTTCCATCACATTGTCCATGAAGATTAAATTACTTATTTTTCACAAGTAATGAAGATTTCTCCACTGATCGTAGGCTTTTTCAAGAGTTAACCTTGAGAACAATTCTGTCATATGTTCTCGTATAATAATGGATTTGACTAGAATGCCTTCTAGTCACATAAGCACTGCCTTTTTCCTGCTCAAGGTAACCTTATTCTAACTAATTGTGCCAGCTAAGTTGCTTGAGTATCCTGTGTTATTACCCCGGTTAGAGAGGCAAATTTTATTTTGTTTTCTTTGATTTTATTCTACACAGAGAGAGAGAGGGGGGGAGAGAGATTCAATTTTTTTCCCCCCTTGATTTATGGTCCTGATTCTAAGACATTGCCCAATAGCTTATCATATAAAAGTGTGTGTAATAATCTTTTTCTTCCAAAATTGCCACTTATATTTATGTTTTTGTTCTTTTTATTTCCGGAAATGCAGATTCCAGGGCTTCTGAAAATCAGGCATATTGGACGAAGCACACTAGGCAGTGCTGCGGCCTTTGGTCTTTTCTTGGGTGCTGGGAGCTTGATACACTGTGGGAAGTCTCACTAAGCCGTGTTTGAGTTTACCAAATAAGTTATTTTGTATTCTGTTTTGCTTACGAACTATTGGTTGAGTTGGATATACATGCCTGTAGACAAATAGCTTAGAATGGTGTTATCGCGATTAACCACTCTTCATATGTGGTGTTTTGCATGTCTGTCATTGTTGGAGTTCTCAAAAACTCTTAATGATGTTTAGAATTTTTATTTCAACGGAAGTTTCTTTGCATTTCTGCATGGTGTTTTCTGTCACTTGTTGAGTATCGAAATTTTCAACTACAATTGTTCTGTTTTTTCTTCGATGTATTTCGACGTCAACCGTCTTATGTTGGTATGTGAGTATGTGACTTTTTCTAGATTCATATAATCCGGTGTTCGAATTTGAATTTCTGATCTGAAGATAATCTGGTGAGATGATGGGGTCGAATTTCAGACTCTTGAGAGTCCACATACAGGGGAAAAAAAGAAGAAAAATTGATAGAAATTATTCGTAGGGTATGTTGAAGGTGGATGAGAGAAGTCATTGAACTTTTAGGTCAGATTCCTGATGATCTAAACCTTATTGTGGCAGCCGGAAACCAAGAAGTTCTTTGTTGTAGATTAAGATGACTTGAAATATGCTGGGATTGGTTCATGGAGGTGTGTAACCGTATCAGCTGATACGGCAAACAATGGGGATGAAGTTGGCCTAAAATAATAGCTTATCAATGGTCACAACGGTTTCACTTTGACAAATAATGTAGGCTTGAATATCATTTTCTTGTGTCGCTCTAACGCTCTGCGTGTGATTTTGCCCTAATTTTTACTATTTGTAACTTAATTTTGTTGTTTTCGCGCTCTGGTTCTTAAATTCGCTCTTGCTCCTACGCTTTATGTGACTTAGATCATGCTTACACCTTTATAATACTATATTAATAGCTTATTTATTTGCTTTGCAACAAGTTACTCTTTGACCAACTGGAGAGCATGCTATGTATGCTAAAACAATTTCAGCACACGTCTTTTAAAATTTTTGACAAACAAACACAAGAGACAGTAGGGAAAAAATAAAATAATAAATAATAAATAAATAAATAAAAGAAAAGTCCAGGAACATGGTTTGAATAAAGAATTGCAAGTGTGTTGTGAATTGACGAAAAGGTTGCTATTTTTACTTGGTAAACAATTCTCTAATGGAAAATTATTTCAGCACTCCAACACAAGTATAAAACACTTTCAATTTTTACTTTAAAATACCTTATTTTAAGAACCGGAGTGTCATAGATTAATTTTTTTTTGGATGCAATGTCATCTCCCTTTTAAAAATTTACAAGTTAAATAAAAGTTACTAGATACATAATCAAGTTATAAAATGCCATCAAAATTATAACATGTAATTAATATATATTAATAATATATACAATAGAAATTATGGATCTTTCCCAATACTGATTTCTGCAGCTAAAACACTCAAAATCTTTATTAAATCATATACATATGGATCTAAAAAAGCTCCATGGAAGCATAGATTTACAACTTACAAGAACATATAAAGATGCACAAATGTTTTCTATATCTCCATATGCTTTACCAGAAACAAGTTCTTTTTACCCTAACTTGGTGCAGAGCAGAACAATTGCTCTACCTGTTTCAAACTTGACACTACCTCCCCTATCTTAGGGCCACTTCCATCTCCTCCAACTCCCCGGCTCCCGGAGATGCACCATTTTGCAATTTCTCCCAGCTTTGCCAGCCCCATGATCTTTCGTTCTTCCTCGGGAATACCCAATCTCGGATCAAGCCATTCTTGACCCCCAAGAAGCTCATTGATCTCTTCAAAACTGTCAGAAAACTCGGAAGAATCATTTCTATCCACTGCAGCCTCCCCTTTCAGAAGCTCAACTAGTAGCAGCCCGAAACTCCAAATATCTTGCACCATTTCTGGTGGCATTTCAGGATTAGTACCATCATGTGTGCAGTAATTTGCAGCCCTGAATCCTCCTAGTTTTGCATTGTAGTCCACATCAAGTAGAATGTTTTCCGACGTTATGTTTCCATGATATACCGGTGGCTTTAAGTACATATGCAGCATTTGAATAGCTGAGGAAATTTGTCTTGCAACTGTCAGCCTCTTCTCCCAACCAAGTGTTCCTCCGTTTTCTTTCAAGTTCCAACTCAAGCTTCCCCTACCCATGTACTCGAACACTAAATGCCGTCCACGAGTACTATCTTCAGCATATCCCACTAAGGAAATGATGTTTGGATGACAAGTCTTGAGCAGAATCTCCTCCTCTAAATCTGTTCTTGTGTTTGATTGTTTTGAAGATTTGATCGCGATGGAAATCCCATCTGTCGAAACTGCTTTGTACACGATTGAAGAAGGGCCCTCACCAATTCGGCTTTCCTCCCCATTAACCTCTGCCCTGACTAACATAGAGTTCCCATTCAAGTCCATCCTGTTTGTGTGCTTTCTTCTCCTTCTCACCAAAGCTAATGCAAGTAATCCGAGAGAAAAGGTTATTGCTACGACTCCTAGAGTGATGATGATGACCATGATTAGTGTTTTTCTGTTCCGATCAATTGGGGAGGCTATGTAGAAGTTAGCTGACCACCCTTCACCATTTTCTGTCTGGGTGGCAAATGCTATCATAACCTCACCTGTCAAGTTCATTTGTGGGAGATTAGAACCCGAGTAAATCCCAGTGAAGTTAGCCATCTGCTGCTTCGTGCCATTATATACAGCGAGAAAATCAAAGTCTTTCGTGATGTTAATACGAGTAAAGCTCAAAGTGACAACAGTTCCTGCTTTTCCATGGAGGATCCATCGGCAACTTAGTCCTTCTATGTAGGAAAGGCCGGTAGCTGATTTGTAGCCAATAGCACCTTCATGATCATAAATATCTTTCTTCCCATCACATAGTCCTAAAATTTTCCGAGTATGTAGATTTAATTTTCAGCTAAAAAACAATGAATAAGATAGAAATTAACTGATTTTAGCTTACCTGCAGAATATCTGAGCTCCCATCCTCTTGACTCAGAAGATACACGATTGCCACTCACGAACTTAACAAAGGCTTTTGAGCCCATAACCTTGATGTTCTTGTTAAACTTTACGTTATTTGAGTGAAAAATTGAGCATTGTGCAGAACTTGAATCTGACTCGCAAATTATGAGTTGGTCATCGCTGTCTGCTGCAACTGAGAAGTAGTTGACGGTAAAACTGATGAACTTTGCAGTAGGGTACTGGATCTTCCACCGGCATTTCTGGTTTGGGGGATATGGCTGCAAGCCGTTAGTGTGATTCGATATGATACCTGCATTTAAATATCCTTTGGGCTGTCTGAACATAAGTGCATTACTCCCACATGTCTCTGTAGATACAAAATTTAGTTATAATTTCAAGAAATATGAACATCGAAAAACAACTAAAGACTTTCTTGTCACTGAGAAGGTTGCATGATAATTCTACTCAACAGAACCTCTATCCAACTAGGGAATGACTATTTGAAGTCACAATAAAAAGCTTTAGAGCTAAAGATATGTTACAGTAAACAAGGGACTAGAGCTGAGCAAATAGACCACACACACACACACATACACACACAGTAATGCAGCTCCATGTTAAAGTCTAGTTAGAGTATATGGTAGCTCATAAGAAGTCAACACATACACACACACACACACACACACACAGTAATGCAGCTCCATGTTAAGTCTAGTTAGAGTGTATGATAGCTCATAAGAAGTTATTAACACACACAAACACGCGCACACATACATACACACAGTACCTGAAGGTTTCAAGGCACAATTCATGATGTTCTGGTCCCAAATGTATCTCACTATGTATCTATAGCCATTCAAACCAACTACATTAAAACTCACATTCCTCTCTAAATCCCGGAACAGAGGAGTACCATCTTTGTCACCCTGAAGTATAGAAGCGCAAGAACTACTAACGGTCCGGTCATTTCCATCATTGCTAGTCCACCCTCTTCCATCTCTATCAGTAACCTCCTCCGCGATCTTAGCCAGCGTATTACCCACCAAGCTATCTATCTGTTCATCACCGTTTGGCGGCCCCAGGTAGAACTCCCCTTGGAAGAAAGTTGAACACTGATCATCAGGATTCTGTGGGGCTCTTGCCCACGCCATCGTCACATTCACTCCTGCAGAAACCTCTACTTCAAAATTCCCACTACAAAAACGCGTCAGTAGCTTCTGCTCCTCTCCAGGTAGAAACATCACCGTGTGAGAAAACACGAGAAGGTAGATAGCATTGTCATTGACTTCGAAAAGTTGAGTACAAGTCAAGTTCCCGGCAAAACCATCAACGGATGTCATGTTAAAGACCGATTGTCCAATCCCAATCACTTGGTCTCGTGTCATGTTGAGCTGCAAACCTGTGTAGAAGCACTCGGCACCCAAGTCCACTCTATCCGTCACAGGAGTGTCAGAACCATCTCTATACTGTCGAATGATCTCCCACCAGTTTCCCAACGTTGGTACCTCGGAATCCTTGACATGATACCGCGATGAAGTTAAAGAAGTTATAGCATTTCGTATGGCTTGTTGACCGGATTTTTGCCACTCGGTGCCTAACCATAGAAGAGAAACAGTGACTGGCTCCGTCATGATCTTCCCTCCATTGTAAGCAAGACCGAAAGAGGTTTCATCCGGGGATAAACAGGGAAACCGAGGAAGAATATAAAGTAAAAGAGCAGTTAGAAGACCACCCACCATTTGAAATTTTCTAAAGAACTTGGATAAATGTTAAATGTCAATGGAGGGTAAGAACATGATCAGAAGAACTAAACTGAGATGGGTTTTTGGTGGAAGGTGAAGAAAAGTGTATTTGGCCGTCTTGGGCCTGTAGTAGATACAAAAGCATCAGTACAGATATAGAGTAGTAATATATATATATATATATATATATATAGAAACTCAATGGCCGGCCTAAGAATTTGTATAATGGTATGAAAGAAACAAATTTAGTAAAGAAAGGGAGGTGCTGTTGAGTTGATAGAAGCTGACAAATAGGAGAGACTGACTTTGGTTGGTTAGGTTGAGAAGAAGCCTCCACGTCTGTCTCATTCCAAATATTGTACTAGAATTCAAAGATCTTGGAATCACTTGGACTCTTTTATTTGTTGTATTGCCACTTGTAGAATTGATATTACCAATATCAGAGAAAAGAAAAATGCCATTGATCAACCTTTCGCATTGTCCTCAACAACTGATTGGGTACAAGCAT